TCTTTTATTTAACTAGATCTTGTGCCTGATTAATCCTATATTCTCTGTTAAACCATTAATTTTTATTCTCCTAATGGTTATCAAACCTATTAAAAAGAAATTTCCAAATATTTGATTTCTCATTTTTTATTTTATTTTTTCCCTGCTCTTTCGTAGATTCGGATTCTCTTTTATTGCCTCTCATTTCATTCTTAGATTCGGATTCTGTTCTATTTTCTCTCATCTCTTTCATAGATTCGGGTTCTGATATATTGTCTCTTATCACATTCTTAGATTCGGATTCTGTTTTATTGTCTATCATATCTTTCATAGATTCGGAGTCTGTTTTATTGTCTATCATCTCTTTTTTAGATTCGGAGTCTGTTTTATTTTCTATCATCTCTTTTTTAGATTCGGAGTCTGTTTTATTGTCTATCATCTCTTTCATAGATTCAGAGTCTGTTTTGTTATCTATTATCTCTTTTTTAGATTCGGAGTCTGTTTTATTGTCTATCATCTCTTTTTTAGATTCGGATTTTGTTTCATTTTTTCTCATCTCTTTCTTACATTCTTCTGAAAATTTCACAAATAGTATATAGAGTTCATTTTTAACATCAAGAATTAATTTTTTTTTTTCTTCTTTTGAAACATCACTTCGATGAAATATTGAAGATACTTCTTTAAATTTGTTCGCTGAAATTTCATTCCATTCATTATTCCATTTTTGGTCTCTCCATTTAGGATCCATTTCACTTGTTACATTTTTAAATCGCTCAAACAATGCTTCATTAGTGTCTCTCTGCCATTGATCGTACGTATTGTGACATACAAGCGTAATAAACCAATTTTTTCTTTTTTTTTCTTTTTTTTTTTTTTCTACTGGACATTCTTCTTGGCATCCGTCAACCTTAGTTTGCTTTTCTCCTGCTATGTCACCTTCTGTTAGTACTCTTTCATATTTTAACTCATATTTTATTTGCAATCTATTTTTATCAATCAAAGTTTTATAGGAATCATACTATGGATTAAATAAAAATTTTTTTAGTAGAATGTTTCTTTTGCTAGAATAGTAAATCAAATGGAAGGTTAAAAATAATTAGAAATAAAATATATCTATATGTATATTTTTTGTAAATATTTTAACTTACGTTATAAAAACATTGATATATCCAAATTAAAATAAGGAATGTAGTAATTTTTAAATATAAAGTTAATGTTTTCATATTAATATATTTATATAATAATATTAAAGTGGATGTTGTTAATTCAGGTGTAAAATTGTTTCAATTTTCAATAATACTAAATTATGGATTTGTAATGATAATTTAGATATTATTATAACTTATATTAATTTCCTAAATTTTTAAAATAGAAAATTATTTTCATATATGAAATGTAATTTCTAATTTTTTATTATTACTTATGATATTATGGTTACATTAGATAGGAATAACATTCTTAATTCCTTAAAAAATAAAATATGAACGTTAATTTACAAATAAATAAAAAATATAATAAATCGGATAAAGTTATTTTAAAAATATTTTATTAAAATTTTGTTTATCTTTGAATTATTTAAAAAAATTAAATATTTCTTATTTAATGCGTATAAAAATTATAAATGATATACATTTAATGTTAAAGGATTTTTTTTATTTTTTTTTTCTAAACTACCAATCTCTGTGAATTATGTCGAACTTTATATTATTTTATATACAGTATATTGTGATTAATAAATATAAATCTTCATGTATTATATATATTTATCTCCATCAAAAAAAGAAAAAAAACTCTATGAATTAAAAATTTTTATAAGCATGTATTTTTCATGCAGTATACTACATTTGTCACAATTTTTCACTTAATATAAAACTAATTTTTGTTTATGAATATATTTCTTTTAAATATAACTTATTTGATTTTTCTAATAAACTTTTTCCTATCTTAATTCTTTTTTTTTTATTTTTATTATTGATAAATATTTATACAATATATGTATATATTTATTTTTTGTTATAACTATTTTTTAAAAAAAATTACTTTTTCAACTATTTGAAAAAAAATGAAAAATATTTATTAAGTACATAAATTAAAAAGAAAAAGTGAAAATAGTAATTTTCATTAAAGGGATTATTATAACAAATCTTATAAAAAGAACATTTAAAAGTCAAATGAATTAATTACAATTTAATAAAAAAAAAAAAAAAAATACTATTTTTTTAATCATATATTTACAGAAAAAAATATTTTTTAAAAAAAGTTTTATTTTTTGATAAATTTACTTATTTTATTATAAAAATATATTTTTATAAATTTACTTTTTTACGAAAAATACTTATCAGTTTCAAATTTAATATAAATGTTATATACTGAATATAAAAATATATCTTTAGTTAGATATAATAGATTTTTTCTTATAATATTCAAAAGAATTCATTTTTATTGTGATATAAAAAATATCAATAAATAAAGATAAAACAGAATTATAACATAACTTTTTGCATATATATTATTATAATCTTCTAATTAAATATAAAAAAAAATTATTTTTTTTTTTTTTTTTTGCCTTTATATATTTATTTGATAAGTGTTTATAATTATTGCGATGTGTTTATTTTCTTTTTTAATTTTAGTTTTATATATTTATAGCACAATTTTTTATTTTTTATTTTGCTTACCAAAAAATTTAGGTAACTCATTTACATAGTATAAATAAATTCATCAATTGTTCCTTTCTAATATAACCTTTTTCTTAAAAGGATAAATTTTATAAGAAATCATTGTAAATATTAATGGAGAATTTTAATAAGAATTTTTATTTTTTAAATTTAATTTGTTAAAATCACTGACGTATTATTAATAAAAACTAGTGTGTATAAATACTATCAATTTTAATATTTTAACACTGGTTTTTCTCTAAAAAATAATCGTGAATTTAATAAAAGTGCATTTTTTATGATTTATATTTTTTTAATATTATATGTAGATGTTTTTCTTACTAGTAAAAATATGTAAAATATAAAAGTGTCTTATATTTAACATAGATATTACATGATATTAAAATAATTTCAATAGTGTATGTATTGGATATATAGAAATATAAATTATCCAAGTAACAGTTCATGAAGTATTAAAATGATTATAATTACTATAAATAAGATAATATTCCTAAGGAAAAGAAATTATTTATAGCTCTGATTTATTAATGGTTATTAAATTACTTTTCTAGTGTCAAACAAATAAATTAATAAGGAATATATAGTGTAAACTCTACTTAATTTTGATATAAAATTTTTATTATTATTAATAAACATTAAATATTGCTTAGTTAATTATTTTCTTTTTAATAAAGAAACACTCCAAAATGTAATTTCCTCAAATATTACATTTTAGCTTAAAATAAAAATGTACATTCTATAGTAGTCTGCATATTATCCTCCAAAAAAAAAAAAAAAGAAAAACTAATTTCTTTTTTAAGATTACATTTTTTTTTGTAATAAAATAAATATCATCATTATATATATTTTTTTTTAATTGTAAATACCCACACATAAAAAATATTACTATTTATTTATTTTTTTTTAATGCACTCACTTTAAGTGCAAGTATGTATATACATATGTTTTTTGTTTACATACTTTTTGAATAACTAATTTAGTGAAGACATTTATTATATCATATTGTCCTTGCGAATTAGCATGCACAAATTGAAATGTTTTTATTCAATTTATTCGTCTAAAATTATACAAAAAAGGTCAATAGTATTGTTTATAGAGCAATGTATTAACCAATTTATTTATTAATTGGGTGTTCGGTGACTTTGTGGTTAATAAAAGGCTTTATTAACCTTTTTGGAAAATAAAAGGACTAGTTAAATAATGAATATGAAGTTGGTCATGTACACAAACAGAAAAAAATATTGATGATCAATTTTTTTTTTTCTGCACCATTTTTTTAAAAAAAAAAAAGGTACAAAGACGGTAAGAAAAAATATGATAAAAATAAAAAAAAATCAATTGGAAAAATATTTATTAGCAATAAATAAATAAAAAAAAAAAAAAAGAATTTTTTTTTGAGGGAAGGAAATACGTTTTTTTGATGAATTTTTTAAAAGAAAATTTTATACATATAACAATTAAATTTTCATGTAATTAATATTTATATAATTTTTTGTATTTGTCAATAATTGTTTATGTTTGTTAATTCAATAGCAATATATATTAGTTGCTGAGTGTAACTCATAACAAATAAACTAGTAATTTACAATTAATTAATAATCAATGTTTAATAAGGATTTAAATTTTTAATAAAAATAAGGATTTTTATTAAAGTAAATAAATTCCTATTGAAATCAAAGAATGCTGAACGAAGTAGAGCACATAATTAAGAATCACTCCTTCAAAGCATATAAAAGTATATATAAATACACCAAAATCGTAGAGGCAACTCTTCATGCTCTTTATTAATTTGTTTGTTCAGTACTCGAGAAAAGTCACCGAACACCCAGTTAATAAATCATTACTCTAGCAAAGTCACCGAACACCCACTTGATAAAACAATACTCTTACAAAGTCGTTGAAGAGTGATTTATTAACTGGGTGTTCGGAGACTTTGCTAGAGTACTGAACAAACCAATTAATAGAGAGCATGTAGATATGACTCTACGATTTTCTTATACTTATGTATATTTTTATATGCTTTGAACGAATGATCTTTAATAATAAACTACTTCGTTCAGCATTCTTTTGCTTCAATAAGTATTTATTTACTTTAATAAATAAATCATTATTTTATTAAAAATTTAAACACTTATTTAACATTAACTATTAATTGATTATAATTATTAGTTTATTTATTATGAGTTATATTCAGCAATCATTTTATATTGCTATCGAATTAACAAAACACAAATACTTATTAAAAATGGAAATAAATTATATGCATATTAATTACATGAAAATTTTATCTTCATATGTATAAAATTTTCTCTCATAAATTCAAAATATAAATATTATGCAAATTAAACGCTTTATAAAAATATCATTATCTTCTTGTAAAAAAAATCTCTCTCTCTCTGATTTTTCTTCTCTTTCCCCAAAAAAAAATTAAATCTTTTTTTTTTATTTTTATCTTTTTCGAAGGAAACATTTCTCAAAAAAAAAAAATCCAATAATTTTTTTTTTTTTTTTTTTTTTTTTTTTTAGTTAGCACAACTAACTATGTATTCTCCACATAGCTAGACCTTTTATAGCCAAAAAGTTTAATGAAGCTTTTTATTAACCAAAGAGACAACTAATATATCAACATGTGATATTGTTTAAGTGAACAACAATAATAAATAACTAATGCAATTAACATTTGATATTAATTAATAAAAGTGAATAATTTGATTTGTATTTTAATTTAATAAAAATAAAATAAGTGGAGCTTTCTTTGCATTCTCTCTAGTGATTTGTTTGTTCAATATTAGTAAAATCGTTAAATAAGTAATAAACAATAGATTATCTAAAAAAAATAAAAAAAATAATTATATTTTTTTTCTTCCTGTACTTTTAGTATATGCATTTAAATATGCATATGTTTCTTTTATATTTAGTAGGTACGCATAAAAATATATATGCTTTATTTATTTAAATATCATTTAAAATAGATTGATAATATCATCTGTAGGACATGTGTAAATTATATGTATAAAGTTTACTTATAGCAGATATATATTTCCACAATAATTAAAATTAATATAAATCACTCACAAGTCCTTTATTAATCTACCAAAAAATTTTAATTAACAATAAATAGAACAGTATTAGACTTATAACTAATTATTAAGAACATTATTGTTTTATTAACTGGGTGTTCGGTGACTTTACAAGAGTACTGAACAAACAAATTTATAAAGAGCATGTAGAGAAAACTCCATTTGTTTTGTTTTATTTAAAATAGAATGTTAAGTAAATTACATGAATTTGCCAATTATATTAAATATTAATTACAATAGTTACTATTTTAGTTAATTTACGAAATTCTTTATGTCTATCATATTTAACATTAAATTTTTAATATTTCGTAAAAAAAATACTTTATATTATCATATTCCTTTTGAAAAAAAAAAAAAAAATTAATATCAAAAAAATATAGTGAAGTAAAATAAAATATATCTACATTTTTTTTTTTTTACTGTAATTATCCTAAAAGTATTTTTATTTTAGTACATATTTTGTGT